AGCATTTCTCCCCCCAAGGCAGCTGTGATGAGCTCTGCTATTGGCTGTATTACAATCACTATCAGCTTAATGCTGGATCCTCCACTCCATTTTTAAACGGCACCTTGCACTTGTACGGAATGGTTCTAGTAACCAAGCTTCTTCTGGTCTTGTATATTATGACCCTATAAAAAGTGCAGCTATAACCCAAAGCTGGCCACGGTTAATGGTGTTAACATTTGCAAGCGCAATGAAAAGCGGGTCCAGAGAAGCAAGCTGTGAAAATCACTGGCTGTATTATAAAAATACCATGTAAATCCACTTGAGGTATTCTGATACCATGGAACAGCAGTTTCTCAGGCTTTTATTCTTTAAATTAAAAAAAAAAAAAAAAAGTTAGCCTGAAAATAAAGGTGATGGGCTACCTTTTAACGCGTTACTCCACCCTTGCCTGTATCCAAGATCCTACTTCTTATGAACTTAATGTTAAGTCTTCAAAAATAAGAACAGTTAAGTGCTTACTTCTAGGTGTGCAAAACGTTGCCTGTGAATTGCTTGAGTATAGGCAGCGTGACAAAAAACAGAGTCACTTCCATACATTCAGTATCAAGGCAGTACAAACTTTTCCTACCTTTGGTTTGATCCAAGCCATTTAGAGAAGACAAATACAAAAAAAAAAAAAAAAAAAAAAAAAGAAAGCCAATGAGTAAAATATGCACGATTTCCTGAAAATATAAACACATTGCTGACTTAAAGATAGTTTCTTGATTTTTCTTTAAACTCAGTGATATTTTAAAGTGCAATATAGGTATCTGTTTAGAAATGGTGAACTAGAATTTAAGAAAGTTTCTTCGCACTTCAGGGCAAAAGTAGCAGTTGCAGCATCTCTCCACAAAGACACGTCTCTAATTGTGAGAGCAGATTACTTGAGAAACCATGTTTGTTCTGGTGTTTCCAACAACATTAGAAGCATCTCACCTTTTTCCTTCATTTCAGGCTATTCCCAAATTCTGCTTCATTTTTTCATATACAACATAGCTGATGCTGACAGCTGGAAGCACCTTCATAAAATTAGGGGCTATGCCCCTATAAAGTCCTCTGATTCCCTCTGTTGCAATAATTCTTTGAAAGAGACCGACCATGTTTAGCTGTGGAGCTCCTTCCACTGAGGCTAGAACAAAAAGATAATGTGTTATACAACAGTTCTAGTAATATTAAAATTCTTAAGCATGTATTAAACATCTGGGTGGTAAGCCTACTATCACCTCTAGGGCCACTGATTAAAACCAGAGTCCTCACAGAGAGGAGATCTCTTTAATCCCAGACATTTGAGAGACATCCATTGTGTCCAAATCCCCCTGAAAAGCATTATCCACCTACATTCCTTTGGAAATCTAGGCTCCTGTCCTTAAGTCTGTGCACAAACCTATCAAGCAAAAATCTCAGCTATGAAACTGTCTTTATGAAACGTCCTCCAGAGCAAACACCACTGTCTGCCTTCACAGGATGATGCAACTCCTTTTCATTTTACCTCTAAAATTTAGAAAACAGTCTAAATTTTAGAAAAGTGCTCCCAGACTATGACAGCAGCTCTATGCCTGCTAGTCTTGTATGGAATGTGGCTCTCGGAGCACTAGTATCTGAAACGGCACATTTGAATCAAGTACGATGAAGAACAACGTTGGGAGTAACAGGGAGAAGGTACCAACATTAAGAAGGATTTTCCAGGTAAGTGTTGGGTTTTTTTATTCCCATGTCTCTGCTACAGCTATCCCAAATGATACAATTTTGATGTGATGACACAGAAACACCTTCAGTACAACAGGACTCACCTTGAGCCTGCATGCGTGTCCTGATAAGAGCAAGAGGGTAACTGGCTAACTGCCCACACGTGCTGGAAACAGTACCACACCCCAGCAACACAAAAACACCTGGGTTCGCAGAGCTTGATGCGTAGTGTTCTAGCCATGTACTCTTTAAGAGCTGCCAAGATAGAAAATTAAATAGTAAGATAAGAGATCTGCATTCAAGAAAGTATATGACCACAACTTTATTCAAAAGAAATCTTATGGGCTCAACCCTGAAAAGCACCAATCTCACGACACCAGTCCTACATGCTTACTTTTAAAGCGCACAGGTAAACACCTTAGCACAAGGGTAAGGGCTTTAAGCAGACTACAGTAGTTAGTGCCTAGAAGACAAATCCTTAAAAGATCCAGCAGCAGGAACAGTGCCCACGTTCTAGACCTGTTAATATTTTGGGAGAGGAGGAGGGAAAGACAACTCAGCAACTCACAGGGTGCAACAAAAGCTTGCACAGCTGTGCACGTCACCCCATGCAGAAGAAGGATGCAAACTGTAGAAAAGAGCTTCCGTACTACTTTGAAAACGTTTGCTCAAGCAATTCTGCTGATTACTACTGCACTGTCACAAAAAGATTTATCTAAACCAGAAAAAAAAAAAAAATTTGTCTGTGCATCTGAGTTACTTAACACACTTTGAAGCAACACCTAGCTTCCAAGGTGGGTAACACATTTTATTTGTTGCTGATGGGTGTAAGAAGTGCTGGCTCCTCCTGAAAGGAAGGAGAGCGGCGTTTCAAACTCCTCACACCAACTATGTGTCAGTCACAGAGAATTCTGGTGACATGCACAGACACACAAGGAATTCAGGTTACTATAATCCAATTACAAATCAAAGAAAATAGGAAAAAAAAAAGGTATTAACTATCATAAATGCAGGATAGGTAACATAATATGAACATAACATCTGGTTTTTAAGGCCCATATTTACTATAGAACAGGTATGTTCCAGTCCAGCAGGGCTAGTTAAGTATGCAAGCATGTTGTACTGCCAAGGTCTATATAATCCTGCTTTGTGAGTAGATTTGTTGTTTGTTAGTGTTGCATGCTAGGGCCCATTGGCACAGGCACTCCTCTGGGTGGGCAAACAAAGAAAAACAAAGTCTGGCATGATTACTGGAAATTCTCATTTGGCTATTTTAAATTGAAGACGACTGTAATACTACAAGCATATCACAGATCTAACTCATGATACAGGTATTCTAGAGAATATTTACCCTTTTCGTAAATCAACTAACGAAAGCTACATGCATCCAGTGATCTAAACTCACCTCATAAACCGCAAGGTCAATGCCAGCGTAAGGAATTATACCCAGAATATTAGGAATATAGCCTTTGTAGAAGGCCTTTACACCTTCTCTTTTCAAGATCTTCTTAGCACAGTCAAACATCCCAGAATATTGCCCTGTTTTACCCACTGCCAATCTGGTCTTTAAAACCTAAAGGAGAAAAAAATAGTAGCCTTAATTACATACCTATTTATTAATGTATTTTATAAACACAGGAAAATACAGTATCTCTCTGCTTATTCAATTGTCTGGAACTGCTTTGCACTTCGGTACTTCAGATCTCCTTTATGACGACTACCGTTAAGGCTCTGTCAGCAGTAGGCTTCTTCAGGTTTTATCCGTAGTGCAGAGCAGCACACATACTACCACGCAGAAGCTTACAAAGTATTAGCCTTTTTAAACTGCATTTTAGCTTTCCTTTATTGATTAAAACAGGCAGATCTTTGATGAACTTGAAGGCAACAGTGTGGGCAACATTTAATAGAAGCATTAGCTAAAGAACAAGTACGAGCATTAACATACCAGCAGATCACACTTCTGCTCTGGGAACAAGAAAGCATATTAAGAAAATAACCTTTCAAAAAGCACGACACTAAGAGGTAGTTAAGGGATATAAAGATTGTGTCTCACTACTGAAACCCAGCATCTGATTAATAATGCAATTAAGTCTATACTGAATCTTAGAACAAAGAAATTAATAACAGTATCCAAAAGAAATCACAGAGGGAATTTCCTGAGCAACAATTTCGCCTCATAATACTACAGCTTCCTCAGGAGTTTCCCGGCATTTTGCTTTTCTCTTTTACTTAGTAACACCATAAAAAAAAAAAAAAAATAAAAAAATAAAAAATCACTTCTAGGACATTATTCTATCTTTGTTAGGAAGATCAGAGTAGAATATTAATCGCAGAATAGTTTACCTGTCTCCATTGATCAGTGTAATCCAGATGATCTACATAACATTTCAGATATTCTATAATTTAACCTGTCTCTGCACTCAGACTAGCTGTGATTCAGCAGCTCTTAACAGCAAGGATGCTATTTAAAGAGAGATCATTATCACTGTCAGCAATGAGAAGAGGTAAGTTCTGTTCCTACTGACACTCCTTCCTGTGAAAAAGGCATTTACATTACATTTTCCATTACTTCCAAATCTTGATGTTGGTATTGGTTTAATCCCAGATCCAACATACAGTCCAGTTATTTGCACAACAAGGTAAGATTTCTGGGGAACCAGCAGTAAAGGAAGTACATCTTACTTCTATTTAAAAAAGCAGGATGTGAAATAGCTACCCTAGAGCAGTTAATATATTAACACGAGTCAAATTGCAACATGTGTAGTACCACGTACAAATATGTCCTACAGAGGAAAGTGCTGTTAACTCACCCAGCCTCAACTGTAGCAGTTATATTCTCCCTCCACACTGATCTCCTAATCAGACCCAGCTCCCAATCCTGATGCAACAGAACTTCATCTGTTCTATTACAAACAAGACCATTCCTTGCTTACATACAGTGGGAAAAAGATCTATGCCAAATTTAGAAAATACTTTAATATGTACCTAATTTTAAATGTGGTTTTGGATTACTTTTCCCCCCTGAACTAGGTTTTATTTAAACATTGGTTTAGACAACATTATACAGCCAAACATACAGAAAGTATCAATTAGAACACAGTAGCTTCTAAAATGCATAGTACTGAAATTCTGAAAGGAAGTTCAAATTAAAAATAAATCGGGATATCAGAACACAGAGGAATTCCTACAATACTTTCAAGAGCAAAATGGGTTTTACTTTGGAAATGAACCAGACATTTGGCAGAGTCTCCAATGCAAGCAGATTCTCTGTTACTTACCTCCATGGGATAAATAGAAGTTTGTGCTGTTGCTCCAGCCAAAGAACCAGATACAAATCTTTCAACAGTGCCTAACTTTCCGTCATCCTTAGTGAGTATCTTCTTATACTGTATAGTTAAAACACATAAAATAAACACCACATGCTTTTTAGGAGAGGCAAGAGTTACTACAAGAGGCAGGAGTACACTACAAAATGTCTTTTCAAGCTGTACTTACTTTTTCATGTATTTACAGTTACATTTACTAACCCAACAAATTTAGCACTCTACTCACTGCAACTCTGTGGACCAAGGATCTCAAGGATAAAATAAATATTCCAGCCTGCAAGAATCCTTTACATTAAACACCTCAGCCACCCCCAGTACTGTCTGATATTCCTCAAACAGCCAACACAAGGGTACCCACGCTATGGCCCCCAGATAACAAAGAGGAACCAGATTCCCTTGCAGATCCAGTTCTCCAATCAAAGAATAAAAGATCAACTAGCACATTCACAGAGACACTTAGAGCGCTGTACATACGGTTTCCTTCAAGACAGAGACACCATCATGAAAGAACGCATCATCAGCTCCCAAAAGGCAGAGCAAGAGTAAGGAATAACATGCTCAAGGTTACTCCATGGCATCAAAACCTGCCGTTCAGTCTTGCAATATCCCAAAGTTTACCTGACTTTTTGTTGCTTTTGTTTCACACTTGTACAGAGACGTGCAACATGTTCATTTAGTCTTACTTGAGGCACTAGCAACCCCCACAGAGGAAAAATAAAGATCATTTAACTTCACCAGAACAGGAGTTCATTTTCCAAAGGAGGATTAGGCCTTAACATGGTGCTTAAAGCTGATTCAGAGGTAAATATAACTCTACAATCCAGGATGAGGGCATCTTACATAGCACCATGATATTTGACTTCAAAAGAATCCTGTGTAAGTTCAGCTAGCATAACATGCCAAGTTTTTGGTTGTTTTCACTTGAAAGCAACAAACTAGATATTAATGCAGTACTCCATATAAAGCTACGCAGGCTGAAGGACAGTTTAAAATGTATGACGGATTTAGTTTATTTACACTGCTTATAATACAATAGCAAAATCTGCCTAATACCAAGTGTTCCATTAACAGAATAAAGATTATTTTAAATCTGAAAGTCACTCTAAATTACTGTGACAAAATCCTCAACCATGATAAGAGCTTCCATATAATACAACAGTGCAAATAATGAACAGTGAGAGTGATACAACGTTTTATTCACCATTATTTTCATTCCTGATTTATCATCCTACCTGTTCATAAGCCCAGAACTTAATAGCTGTTTCAGGAGCTATCTTCACAACATTTACACCATTTCCCCTCCAGAGGGATCGAATACCACCTTCTTTCAACATTTGCTTAAAACCACTGGCTATATTCATTTTGTTTGATTTTGAACCATGAACCTAAAAAGGAAACAAAAGTCACAGTAAAGAACACTGCTTTGATTAGATTGTAAAACTCATCACCTAAGTATTAAATTGCTTAAATACGTCAACTAGCAAAAACCACATCCACCATTGAAAAAAACCTTATTTTAGCGGCACAAGTACTATAATATTTTGTTTGCATTTCTGCCAATACGACTATGGAAAAGACAATTTTTGTGAACACAAAATATAGAAATTGTCAAAACATAACTACACCTCCAGAATTTAGATACTGTATTTGGCCATCAGTTTTCCATAACAGTTCTCTCAAAACTGAAGTGATACACTGGAAACGAAAAAGTTCTTGAACATTGCACCTACCTGCATCATCACTTTAAGGCGATCTAACGGTGCTGTACCTGTTCGAGAGACAGCACCAGCCACTCCTCCTGCCAACAGCTGTTTCCACCACTGCCCAGTCTTTTTCTCTTCCTCCGTGAACTCATCTGGAACAGTCAAACTATCTCCTATATCCAACACCTATTAGAATCCGAAGTGAAGACAGGCAAATAACTATCTCATTGCACCATCTCAATTTTATCAACAGTTCTAATTCTGAATTAACCTGCCACCTGAAAATATGAAAATGAAATGCTAGTTAAAAATAAAAAAGATCTCTAATTTACATTCTATAATTAACTTGCTACAGATTGCTATCGCTTTCAATGAACAGCAACTTTTAGTGACTTCTACATAGATATTGAGCAATAACATCACAGACCCACCATTTCAAAGACTGCACCATCATCATTAAAAATGATGACAAATTTCTGCCTTGAGTATGGCCCAAACAAGGACATTCTGTCATGATCGGCAGACCTTTACAGTCAGCACTACAGCTCAAATGCTTATATGTTGCGGCTAACCTTTCACCGGACAGCCTTCTAAGATTAGTTTGGTAATCTCCTAAGGATGCTAACAAAAGATTTCTCTCTCTCACGGTACTTTATTCACACATAAGGATGTATTAATAAGTACTGACCAAAAAGTACTGATAAGTACTGACCAAAAAGCATATTAACCAATAAACTTTTTTTAACTATTGTCAATTTTAATTGTAGACACTACGTCCCTAATTCATGCTGCGATCCCTATCTGTCACGCGGACAGAATACTGTCTTGGCCATTTGGAACACAAGAATTGCAGGATGCAGATTATAGATACAGCCATTAGACAAAAACGATAAGCACCATCCAGTCTGGATATTGAACACAGAACAGATTAATTGGAAAATCCTTTCTGACATTCGTGGTTTCAAAGTAAGGTGTCATCAGTTGCTCAACTACATGGAAACATCAAAACATCAATCGGAACCCTCAAAATATAAGTTCAGTGATTGTAGATATATCATGCATGTCTACCAGGGTTTAAACCTTGTGTCTACCAAGTCCTAAACACAACTATGGAAAAAAAAAGCTCAATTTGAAAGTGTTTGTAACAGATGAGCCACAGCTACCAACTCAGTAATTCTATGCCAATGCAGCTATCTGCTTGAAAGAGTCTGACAGCAATGAAAATTTTACAGTAAAAACAGAATTGGAAGAGCTGTCAATGCCAGCCAGGCATGTGAGGTCTCACATCTGCTCTTATCTGAAACACCAGCTGTGTTGCTGTATAGCTGGCTTTTGCTTGCTGTGATAACTGGGTCATCAGCTGACTGCGACACTGGAAGATCACAAGAAACCTCTGAAATTGTTTCTTGGGGGTAACTAATGACATTCCACAATTAAAAAAAATATTGATCTTATGTTTAATAATAGTAATACGAAGCATTTTATTAAAGGGTTTCTTTGACACTAAGCTGGGACCAGACTGTTTGATCTCATAGCAGCATTTCAAGCGTCTTCTTCAGCAAACAGGCAGCTAACTCCCTTTTGGCAAGCATTTCTGAATTGAGGTCGTACAGTGTGAAACACTCAAAGCTTTCAGATCTCAAACTCTTTTTCATTATGGAAATGCTGGCTAAGCCCTGAAGATATAAATGCTCTCACTATATTCAAAGAAATCTGTCTTTACCTAACTTTACCTAGCTGCAGGAAGGATATTTAGCAAATAGGATTACTGTTGGTTTACTTACCTTATTATTTGTTCTGAAAAGTCAGACACTGAGATGGCAGGAGCTCCATTCAGTAGTAACTTAAAAAATTTACCTGCACAGTGGATAACCTATTGCTGTATATTCTGTCATTCTTAAATGAAATTCTGTAGCACAAAAGAATGTGAGAACATGCGCACAGAAAATCATCACTACTGACACTAGTGATTCTATGATAATGATACATAAACTCAAATACTGAATTAACTTTGACATATAGAAACATTTTAACTGTTTCTTACTTTGTTTCAACACAGCAAAAGCACTGAGCATAAGAATGTACTGTAATGTGAAAAGAAAAGGATCTAATATTGTGGTTATTATCTTCCTGTAGAATATCTCCAAAGGAAGAAAATGATTCCTTCCTAAGAATTACTGATAATTATTGGCAAAGTTTAGATGTAGTTCTTTGTTCAGAAGAAACTCACATGACACTATTCTGCTTGTAAATAGGAGAGCACAAAGTGAAAAGCATAATCAAACAATCTTAAATACAGGTATGCTTGAAATGTAACAACTGTGAAGCTGTTATACTCTTATTGCAAATTAACCCAGCAGGGATGAATTTAAGAGCTGCACTAAGTTAAAAGAAAAGTTGAACTTACAGTGGAATGTTTCCAATATCGAATTATTTCCTCAATGTCTGTAGCTGGGTTAAACATAAAATGATCTCTCCACTCATTCCAGTCTACTGTCATGGTCCCATCAGCATCAATACTGAAAAGAAATTGAACAAAGCTACATAACGAAATAGTAGCAGGCATGGGGTTTTTCCTGGATTGATGACTTTTTTTTTTGCCCCCCTCCCCCCCCCCCCTTTTTTTTTTTGTAAACATTGGCCATCAGATCAGTGACAACTGACTGCGAATTCATATGGAGACTTCAAGGCTGATTCTGCTATGGTTTTTCAATACTACACTTTTCTTATCCAAGTACATCTGTCATATTCCATTTAAAAACACAATATAACACTTCAGTCTATCAACAACATTTACAGGGAAATGAGAAAACATTCTCCTCCCAGAACCAGACGCTCAAATAGTGACTAGACTTACTATCACCCAAGAACAGATGAAATATGAGAATTCCTATAAAGGCACCACTGAAGGTACCAACACCTTTCAAAGTTATAATCCCATCTATCCTGTTTCTGAATTACAAAAATACAATAATTAACAATACAAAGAAGCTTAAAATACTTTAAGAAATAGTAATTCCTGACCTCTGCAGGATCTTTTCTGCCTGTTTTTCTGAAATGCTTATACCCAATATCTTGAGGGACTGGACAACTTCTGATGCTTCAATTTTTCCTTGAAACGTTAAAAGAAAGATTAAACATATTTAAAACATGGAGCTTAACACACTTAGCACCTTGGAGCTCAGTAAGTTCCATCGTAACACCTACATAGTAGCAAAGATAATTTAAAATCAATTTAAACAAAGATCATGTCTTTTGATTGTCTACTACAAGGACCAAGCAAAGGCAAGTACATTAAAATCATGCACCCAGATGGGATGCAAACATTCAGTGAGTTAAAAACTCTTTTAATAGATACTTAGAAACTTCCTTATAGTTCCTCCTTCTGAGGAACAAAGAGCCCCAGATCAATAGTCCTGGAAGATAATAAAAAGAAAAAAGACTGTAATAATTTATTATTTCAATTTATAGTAAACTATAATTACGATCCTATTAAGGAAAAGAAGTAGGGGTTCCATTTCACAACATTTTGTCTCCAGTTTAGAAACTAATATAAATGAAGATAACTTTAACGCAGTTTCTTCAAACAATGTTTAAACAAATAAAATAAATCAAGGCATACCATCATTGTTTTTGTCCAGGCTCTTAAACGCCAGTTTCATCTTTTTCTCATGATCTTTAAGATACTGCATAAATTCTTCAAAATCTAGCTGTCCATCCTGGTTAGTATCTCCAGCTTTAAAAATTTTCTGTTGAGAGAAAATTCAACATTTGATTTTTTGAAATTACAGCAGGTCCCAAAGACACAGCAGCATAGCACAGCCCTGGCTTTAAGAAAAACATATTGGTCACTTTGGGAGTAAAATCAGGAAGACACCTACACATACGCTTCAGAACTCTATTTTGGTTTCAGAATTTAAAATACTCTCAGTATTTTCATAAAGACAAAAACTCTCAGCAGCAAAGACAGATTTAAGAAAGCATTAATATTTACATAAAACTTTCCTATTCAAAGATCTTAAGGTTTCTTACCAGCGCTGGCAAGTTACACCCGCAGGTGTCAAATACTTTGTGGAGGAGGAGGTGGGGGACAGGACAAAATCATGAAAGAAAATTACTTTAAGCCTGTCATTTTCATGATCATACATTAAATTTTTCAGTATGTCAGTAAAATTAAACAAATACAGTCTTAACTATCCTCTTTAATCCAGTAGTCTATTAATTACGAATTGTAAAGATAAAAATACAAATAGCAATGAACTATTTAACTGCTGACCAAAAAAATACAAAGATCTTGCCCGACTAGCACTTCTACCCCCGAGGGTCAGAGGAGGCAGGGCTTTCTGCTTCACACTGAAGCCCTGACAAAAATTTAAAACAAACAAATAAACAACAACAGACTTGCAACAAATAGAAGCACATTTTTGTATGTGTTTCCTAGTAACTGTCCTGCAGATAAGAAACATCTACATGTAAAATGAACTACAAAGTATACACTGCCAGCACTGCAGGAAACAAGCCTGAAATACAGCCTAGGCGCACACTTCTCCATCAACGAAGGGCCAGAACACTTTACCCCCTTTGTGTGTAAAAACATACTTTTTAAAAAGGGAAATTACAGCAGCCCCCCCAAGCAACAGCCCATAACTGCTGAGACTTGTCTCCAAAGGCAAAGCCCCGAGAAGAGCAATGCCCCGGCTAACGAGCGCTGCCGGATTTACTAGCTTGGGCTTTATGCCACAGCAAGGCTGCTCCCCACACGGAGGGCTGAGCGAGGGCAGGGGGCCCAGGGGAGGCAAGCACACGCCACGGGCGCTTTCCATCTGCGCTCGCACTTCCACGGCGCTGCCATCTCCACGGGCAGGTTGCGGGCAGGGAAATCCACCCCAAACCCCTGCTCCAGAGCACAAGAGTTACAGGGAAATTACGCCTCATCTCTTCGTCTGGGCATCAGTCCCTGTGGCTTCCCTCAATGTGTGAAATCCTACAGGGGCAGCACTGCGTACAAGAGGGTCAGGAGACCAACGTGACAGCACGACCTCTTCAGTAAGTTGCAGTAAGTTTCAGAGTGCTTCATGGTACACATAAAATATATGCCAAAAAATTCTTCCCAATATCTTCTATTTTGCAGACTGCCTTGCGCAACTGCAGCTTCTGAATAAAGTATCCCTCAGCAAGATTTGCACCGCTGTTGTAATCTGCAAAATCTGGTTTTAATCATATTTACTCCACTATAATTAACAGTGGTCCTCAAAAGACCAAAGTACAACAAGTTCTAGCCTAGAGAAACTAAACATAAAAGAAGGTGAAAACTGGTGTATTTGTTGCAGGTGTCTGAAAAAAATTGAAGACATCTGAATACACTTACATTGCCTCTTTTGTCTTTCCTAGTTCTCTACTAAAAGACAATCTTCAATGTTTAATCTCAAAAAAAAAACCCCAAAATTCCTAAGATTGTCATAGATTTCTCAATGGAACGAGGAAGACTATGTGGCACAGTGAAATAAGAAGCAAATTATTTACCTCTCATAATACAGCAAGTTATACACAATAAAATCAACTCAGGTTACCGCATGCTCAGATATGGATTTTGTTATCAGCATAGAAAAACAGTGTTTTCAGTATATTACTCAATCCAGATTGATTGTCATTTTTATTAACAGCCTGTCAACAAAAATATACTCATCAATATCCAGCTTCATGCCCTCACCAATACAGTTAGGGTTGTTCAGAAATTCCCATTACAAAAAAAAATAAGTTACTTTTATTGCAGTTCATGGATGCCTTCCTCAATAAAGGAAGGATTAAGAATTAAGCCTAATTAAGAAAGACTAACGGATCAATCATTCAAAAAAACCCAAACCAAAAAAGCACCCTTAAAAATTACTCTAGCCAGAAAAAGAGTACCCCCTCAAAGACACTGCAATCTTAATCCGTCTTGTACTCTACACACAGCACCTCATACCACAGGACTCGAGTGCCCTGTTGGACTCCCACAAGCTACTGCGAAGAGGTGATTTCTGTGGCGGTGATACACACACTTTGAGCGAATTCTAATCAACACAAATTGTTACTATTCCCTACTGCTATCTGAACTACACAAACAAAAATGCAGAACAAGGAAAGTGTTGTTCCAACCCACAAAACTTCAACTAAATTCCAATTACAAAATCTCCACTGCTGAGGATGACGTGAGCCAAAGAAAACGGAAATTCCTAGGAGGTTTAGAGAGCTGGCAATTAGCGTGTGTGAAGGGGGGCACCTTTCATTTCATGTGCCAAATGAGCAGATTTTATATTGCAACAACTACAAAAGGATAAGCACAAACATACTCTCCATTCCCTACTTCTGTTTTTACAGTTATTTTCCAGACTTCAAGCCAGTCTCAGACACTCTCAGTGCAGCAGAACAGAAGAGACAGGGAACAAAACTGTACGCTTTTCCTCAGCAGGCACACATATTTTCCTCACATTTCAAATCTAAAAGTTCACACAAACAAAAGCCTCTTGCTGTCTATGAAATGTACTAATCATGCGAGTGTCACAGTTTCAGATTAAAATGCAGTAATTTGCAAGTTTGTGAACAAACAGGAACACTGAAAGGAGCTTGCCTTCCACTTGGAGGGCAGAAACTGCCTTGTGGCAGGTTATACACTCCATGGGCACAGCCAGCAGGAAGACAATTACTTGATTCTGAGGCACACTGACTCCCGGGTACAAACTGCCCGTTCACGGCATCACACAATAATTCAGGTTGGAAGGGACCTCTGGAGGCCATCAAGCACAGCCCAGCTCAAAGCATGTCTAGATGTAATTAGACCAGGTCGACAGGACCACACCCAGTTGAGTCTTGGGCATCTCCAAGGATGGAGATTCCACAGCCTCCCCAAGCAACCAGTTCCAACATTCAGGCACCCTCACTTCAGTTCAACAAGGCACCCAACCCTGCTGTCGTGCATTTAATATACCACCAGGTTTTGCACAGTTACAACCACTTGTCACTGTGCCACTTCCTGGTTCACCAACTTCTCTGACGGAGGAGAACTGGATGCATTTTAAAACGGGCACGCTTACAACAATAGAGCAGGAACCAAACTAGATGCCAGTCCTCGCTTGGAAGTCCTGGGAAACAATGTTCAGTGTGCCTGCCACGTAAAACCTGCCATTTCTTGTTAAGAGACTTACTGTGGGATCACCACACCTTCAGGCAGGCCCAGCCCCAAGAGGAAAATGTTTCTTTTTCAAGGCGTGACATTTCTTTTCTCATTGTCTAAAAACTTTAACCCCAAGCAATAAAGATAACTCACTAGATAGAATGAAGTGGTGATCACGTAAAGAATTGCTAATTACTGATAGGTATAAGACGATGGTTTAGATGATCTTTCTTTTTAATGCTACATGCCTTCACACATACTGACTACAATGCTCCCGTGTGGACCCACTTGGTCACGAAACTGCCTTTTCTTTTCTCCTCTCTTTTTTAATTCTGCTAACTTTTGTTCTTTTTCTGACGTATATTTTGTTACTAGAGCTGCTTTCAAAGTCCTGCACAGGGAGGCAACACCAGTGTGAAAGGCCAGAAGTAGACTGAAACACTGAAGAACTTTAATTTTACATTTCTCTATTATATAAAGCATGTTGCGGTGTTAAATTCCTACTCCTCCAGAAGACCTCTGTATTTGGTGTGGAAACCTAAGCCAGCAGGTTTGTTGAAAAAAAATCAGAAAAGTTACAGACAGGCTTTATATACACCTAAAAATCCTGACACTCTCTAAGTGGCCTGATGAATTATTAGATTACTCCATGCCAGAGTTATGAACTTTAACACATTCATAGCTACAACATAAAGACAGAGAATGCAAGACTCTAGAAAACTTCACGCTTTTATGTAGACTTTTATTTTAAATTCACAGTTTAATTTTTATATTACGTAGCATCATTACTTGTGTTTTGTGCTTAAGCCTTCACATTCCGATTACAAAACTGAATTGTGTGTGAAAGGCAGGGCTGCTCAGGACAAATTATTACCAATCATCTAGTCATCAGCTTGTTATTTCAGCTAATTAATATAATGTAAAAAGTATTTAAAAGGAAGTGGTCCATCAAGAAGTTACTGGATGTAACTGTCCACACAGCATTATACCCCAACCAGTGAGCCCACATAACACCCTAACAGACTAGACTGTCACTTAACCTCCAGAAATCCAACATAACACTGCATTTTGAGCAAAACAGTAACTTGCACTGCCTCCAAAGGCCTCACAACTTGTTCAAATGCTGCATTCATATTTACTCGCTTCCCTCCCAAAGGATACTACCAACATGTAAACAGTGCCCAAGCAGGCTCTTCAAACCTGCCACAGACAGACTTTAACAGACTCTCCCCCACCCCAGAACAGCAGACTTGGACCCCTGGCTGTAGCAGAGACGTTGCTATCAGTTGCTGAGCTTGCCCGTCCTGTTCTCTGTCCTGAGCATAGCTCTTCCCTGCAGCAGGACAGCACTAGCAGTGGTCTTCTCACTGGTCCGTTTCAGGTAACAGCATCTCTGCAAAATGAGCCTAAAAAGGAAGAGATGCAAGTCTTGGGTATGCTCTCCAGCATGCCTGGCAGAAGCTGCTCCCTCAGGACCTGGATAAACTCTCTCAACTCATAGTTATGAATTAGATTCCAAGAATCTGAAACAGCATAAATGGGAGATGCAAACTATCCCTTGTACCTTCATTCATCATTCCTCGCAAGTTACACTGG